AGCTATTTTTACGTGGAAACCTGGAAAGGGAGAAAACCACGGGACTTTTTGTCACGCCCCGGACCACATCCGTGCCACGTAGACAACCGCCGTACAACCCAATAAGAACAACGTAGTTCATCCTTATCAAATCGTACAAGGCGTCCGATAGATTCTATTGCCAAACCGATTAGTAAACTCATACAATCAACATCAATATATTACTCAAACAAATGCGGAAGTAAAATATGTTTAGTAATTAGCCACACGTGGCATACATGAGCACGCAGGCCCTTCAATAGTTTAATAGAAAACATTGTTCAAATATCCATAAGCATTTTCATAAGTCAAATAAGAATGGAAGCACGATTTGATTAATGATACATTCCTTCCAAAAAAAATACTCCCTCCGTCCCTAAATAAACTTCCATTTCGCTTTTCGAGAGTCAACTTAAATCACACTTAAACTCTTACTTTATATATCAAAAATTTATAAAAATTGAATTATTTTTTGCAGGCTTTGTAGCGGGTTTAATGTAGTTTCTGAATATGTAAATTTTATTTACTAAAAATAATCCGAGTTTTCACAGGGATCATTTAACTTTATCGATGGTCAAACTTCGTAACCCGTAATTGGAAGTTTTATTAGGGACGGAGGTAGTATTATATACTTCGTGCTAATTTTCCACGTGTCTCGACTCTTGCGGTTGCAAATAGTTGCTGGCCTGCTCACCGGCCTCCTGGCTTGTATAGTCGTATTTTATTACTCCGAATTAGATTTTAGGACTCCTTTTATGGTTTAAGGTTTAGTCAATTAATTATTTACTTGTTTAATTCACCCCAAGTCCTAACAGCCTATAATTAATGGAACAAAAAAAAAAGTAATATGACCTGATACGGTCATCCAGAGGAAGCTTAGCCTCTGATGAATAAGGATGTTGTGATTATATTTGCTTAGTATGCACTTCAGTTGCTTCCTTTTTTTTTTGCTCATTTGCTTTCTTTAAAGTGTGGTAAATTTTTCTTCGAGAGTAGGTATTTGCTGTATGTACTGTTTTTATTTTCTTCGGTTGGTGCTTGGCTTACTTTGAGAGTTTGAGTATGCTCAGATTTTCTTCCAGTTTAGTGCATTGTTTCATTTTGTATTAATTTACTTTAATTCACTTACCCAGGAATAAATAGGTCATTGGGTGGAACTAAAAGCATACTTCACTATAAAGGAGTTTCATATTTAAAATGAGTGTATTGAAAGTTTTGAAACAATAAGTCATCACCAAAGTGATCCTATTGTGTAAGTTGCTCATATAAAATATTAAACATGGTATATATAGTTCAAGTAAATATTAATCGGTCCAAAGGGAGATTAATATTTTATCAAGATATTTATATATACATTTTGGTAATAATAAATATATAACAATTATAAGGTTGCACTTTAAAAGAAAAAGTCAACCAAAAGGTGGATTTTTCTTTTATATGTATTATTCTTATATTTTATTATTATAGCTAGAGTACCACTAAGCTAGCAATTAGTATTATCGTCCAAAGATGATATACTAAGGGTGCATTTGGTATCTTTTGATGGGTTAAAAATTATTTTACAAATTTCACTAAAATATATGTTCGTTGTCTTGTTCTTTCTACAGTTAATTTTTCAAGCATATCTGTCGATCTCAACTTCATCTCTATCCTAAATGGTACTAATTTTAAGGAATGGAAAGAAAATATTCTAATAACTTTGGGCTGCATGGATCTTGACTTAGCATTAAGGGTAGAGCAATCTGCTTCTCTTACAGATGTTAGTACCCAAGATGAAAAAAGGTACTATGAGAAGTGGGATCGCTCGAATCGCTTAAGTCTTATGATCATAATGCGTGACATTCCAGAATCTTTTAGGGGTGCTGTATCCGATGAAGCTCAAGCACTCATGTCCTTCATACTTTTCTCGCAAAGTAAGAAAACACCTCGTTGAAGAGCAAGATGTAATGATTGGGTTTCTAAAACATACATTATGGATGCCGCGGATTGGACTCTTCGTACAGCGTGGCATGGACATTATGGATGCCGCGGCATGTAGCACGGTTTTTGATATTTTGGTGTGTGTCTTACCGACACCTTTTTGTACTTTCCTTAGAATTTAGCCTCTGATCTGTGTGCGTGCACTTGCAGCACCGATGTATTTTGAATTTCTTGATGGGCCGGGTTTTCTTTACCTGGTTATCTTTGGCATAGAATAGATCGAGTAAAAACCTCCTTTCACCCCCACTTTATGTGGGTAGGGGGGAGGTTTTAGGAGATCTAGGACATGTGATGTATAGTTTTTTTCTGGGTGTTAATATATATTTACATTTCATCCAAAAAAAAAAACGGAGTAGATCTTTGGAATTGTGTGACACTGCATATTTGCAACATCAATTCTTTGATCATTTACGAATTACATCACAATGTGAGTCTATTAATGCAACCATTAAGGCATACAAGTATATATCAAGAAGGGTAATTTGTTGGGGTTTATGCGCAATTAGAGATGACTATAAGGGAAAGAGAGTATAGAAATTGTTGGGTAAATGGTCCAACTAGAGGGTCGGCCCATTCAACTCTCATACGGACGAACGTCCAAGCAAGAAAAGACGGACGTAAGATCAGGAGGTAAAGACGGACGTAAGACAGGAGGTAGGGCAGGAGGTAGGAAGGGATTAAGTTAGAAGTAAGATCAAATATTATTTCAAGTGTTAATAAATTTTTTATTTGTTTTCCAATTCTTACAAGAAAAATCCTTTCAAACAAAAAAAAAAAACTTACGAAAAAATATAGGGAAAACTATCAAATAAGCCCCCGTACTATACCGAAAAAGTCGATTAGACCCTCGTACTTTACAAACACTCAATTAAGTCCTTGAACTATTAAAAAACTTTCAATTAAGCCCTTTCGATCGGTAAGTAACCGGTTTCCTGATTAAATGTAACCCGTTTCCCGGCAGACGCCGTTGCTGGGGTTCGAGCACATCGTCGCCGTCGTCTCCGTTTAACCGGGAAACCGGTTACTTACCGATCAAAGGGGCTTAATTGAACATTTTTTAATAGTTTGAGCACTTAATTGAGTGTTTCTAAAGTACGAGGGCCTAATTGAATTTTTCGACAGAGTACGGGGGCTTATTTGATAGTTTTCCCAAAAATATATTAAAACTCATAATTTTTATGATATACTTCCTCCGTCCCACAAAACTTGACCAAAGTTGACTTGTTCGTAGACTAATAAAGTAAAACCTGTTTGGTTGAAATTTGTACAGAGGAGAGAGCAAATTTTAGTCACATATTTCTTACTTTAAAGGGAAATGATAAAGTTTTTTTGGGACAGTTGAAAATAAAAGTTGGTCAAGTTTTATGAAACGGAAGGAGTATCAAATTATCAATGTAACATATGATACCAATAGCATATATAGTTTTTCTAAGAAAAGAAGTGCCAATGGGAGGAGGTTTTCAGAATTTTATAATTTAACATATGCAGTATTGTTGTTATATGAAAGATATTAAGAAAATATGAATTTGATATATTTTTTTGTATAAGTTGAAGTACAAATAAAAAAGTTAAAATACTTAAATTCTCCGTAAGAAAAAGTTAACATCTACAATATCCCTACCCACTAAATATACCCTACCCACCCACCCCTTCTCATCCATTCGCAATGTCACATCCCACCCAGTTTTTTTTATACGTAGTATATATTTTGCTATCCAGCCCGAAAGGCATTTTCTGAATTATGCTTTTTCAGGACTTGAAGAGGAGCACATGCCGCCTCTAGGTCTACCACTACTTGAAAAAGAAAAAGAAATTAAAGTAGTGTTTGCGGTTGATTAAAAAAAGCATTTTTCAGCTTTTGGCTTAAAAAAGCTAAAAAGAGTGTTTTCAAATGACAACTTCTGCTTAAATTAATCACTTAAAAGCTAAAAGCTGGAAGCAGGTGGAAGAGTGCTTTAAACTACTTTTCACTTTTTCTATTACACAAAAAGTACTTATTTTACCAAACACTACCAACTTTTACTTTTTCAGAATCACTTTTTCCTCAAACACTACCAACTTTTACTATTAATCACTTTTCCCAAAATGACTTTAAAAAATCACTTTTTTAAAGTTGAAGCAATTGCAAACACTCCCTAAGAGCCGAGTAGTGATGGCAACGGGGCGGATAGGGGACGGGTACACATAAAATCGAAACCGCCCCGTTGGATAAATGTTTGCCCCAAAACTGCCCCATTACCCGTTCGGGTAATTTTTATTTGAACCGTACCCGCCCAACGGGGAATCGGTTTATCCACGGGTAACCGTTTCCCCAAATGATGCCAAATAACCATTTTTTGGAAAACAAATAACCAATTTCTAATCATACTTGTTATTTATATATTCAAAGTACCCTAAAACATACAAAAGTAAATATTTAAGCAATCAAGCAGATTGGCCTAAATCCATTAGTATGACATGCACCTAATATCTCTTGTAACATAATAAAAAGGTAGTAGTAATCATCCCAGAATCCAAATTCCAAAAACAGGTTTAGGCCTATATTTAGTTTTAGGCCTAAAATTAAAGTAGTATACATTTTAGCATTATTTATATGATATATACTATTTAGTATACACAATTTAGCATATATACTTATTATTCTTATATATAAAAAGTTACAATTCATTAATAATGTTACGGATCGGGTAACGGTGCGGGTACCCGCACCATTAGTGAACGGGGCGGTTTCGGGGCGGATAACGGGACGGATTAGTATAGAACCATAACCGCACCATTAACCATTTAAAAAATTCGGGTATTTCCCACCCCATACCCATTCCCCAGTCAAACCGGTTTTCCCCAATTTGACCAAATCGGTTCGGTGCGGGTATCCAACAGGTCGGCCGAAATTGCCATCTCTAGAGCCGAGACTCGGGGAGGCATTTTTGTGACGTGCCTACTAAGTAACAATGATATTCAACATTACACTCATACAACATATTATTAGGATGTTCAGGTATGAATGTGACATAGCTTATACGATAGTACTACGTAGGCGGAACTCACAATCTCATCTCCTCCGCATTAAAAAACAATCAAGTTCAAGTTGTAACCACTTTCACTTTTTCCCTTTTCCGTGGGAAATTCATAGGGTCGGCTCCTTCAACATTTCTCTTTCTCGTAGATAACTCTTCAACATAATGCTTGAGTGAAGTAACAACTTGATGTATGTTAGGTCGTCGACATCCATTCTTAGGTTGAACGCATTCCATTGCCAGACCAAGGAAGGCCTCCTCAAAAGGGGAGCATATTTTGCGGTATTGCATCTCAAACAACCCAACAGAGCGAGGGTTCTCAAGAATCTGTTTAGTTATCAGCTCCAGAAGCAGGAAGCCATAGGAATAAACATCTGCAGCAAAATGATCATCTTTCTCCCAAGAATGTACTCCATCACCTGAAAAGGATGCATACATAATACGAAGTATTTCTTTCCTTTAGATGAAACCAAAGAAATACATAAGTAACAATGCTAAATACGAAAGAGCACACAATCCCCCAATGAAATGGTGTGCATTTCCATATAATTGTGATACCACCTGAGCTTTTGTTTGGTTGTTAGCCTTGAATTAGAAGTATGGATCGGAGAATGTGTTTGCTTAAAGCTGTGTAACTATGACACTAATGTTTTTCATCTTCACCATCTACCCTAGTTATTATTGCCTATGAGCAGAAGGGCTACACATGAATGTCTGCAGTGCAGCTCGTAGCAACAAGTGATAAAAGAATCCCAAAAGTTTTGGGACCAGGCCACTGCTAGAACTTCAGTCTTTGCGAGAACAAATTGTTACATCCATTCAAATTTGAAATTTGGCATTTTTGTTTCTTTCTTTCTGTTTTTTTTTTGCTTTTTCAGGTTGTTCAAATACGAACTTCTAGTTTCTTAAAACAGACATACATTCCCTCTAAAACTTCACTAGCAACATACTTAATCATGAATATATACATCACACTAAGACCATTTGGAGTGGTGCAAGAGTCCAAATGTCAAAAATGGACTCCGTCGATATGAAAACAGTGTTTTGACTCCTATTCTCTGCATTCCAGCACCGTCAATAAAATACACTCTGCACATTTTTTTACATATCAATTTAGTAAAACATTAATTAAATTATTATAAGTAATGTTTTCCTTTTAATTTTTTCTCTGATTAATCATAAAATAAAAAAGACACATTTCGATGTAAAAATAAATAAATTTCATTATTTTTTTTTTACGTTTTTTCCTGAGTGATTTTCAACACATTAGAGCATTGGATTCTCTTCTCAACTTTGTGTCTATCCATAACACATTGGATTCCCTTCTCAACTTGTTGTAATGGCTATTTTGGCTATTAAATTGCATTAAATGGCTATTTTGGGGCAATTTTTTGAGTGGGGTCCACTTCCGATTTGGGTCGGGTGAAATTGGTTTCGGATTGTCCTTGTTAAGGGCTACAATTCGATACGTGGTACACTCAAAACGGATAACGGGTGAATGAGATATCGATTTTCGAAGTTTACCCGTTGAAATGGAGCAGCAGCCGGCTGCTCCAGCAGCCCACTGCCGGCAGGACAGTCCGCAGCAGCCTGCTGCTGAGACGTCTTCCGCAGCCTGCTGCTGAGACGTCTTCCGAAACACACCCAACAATATATATATATATATATATATATATATATATATATATATATATATATACTAATATAACTAATATATATATATATATACTAACATAACTAATATATATATATATATATATAATATACTAACATAACTAATATATATATGGAATGAGGTGTTTATGATGAAGAAATATGAGAGATATGGAAGATGTGTGATTAAAATAAGAAGGAATGAGGTGTTTATATAGGATTTTCGAGCAAAATATCAATTAAAAATAATAGAAAAATAAAATAAATTATTTCAACCGTTGGATTTAAATTTCAGCCGTTGGATCATTTTTTTTCCCGTTCAAACAGTGTCAAGTTCATCACAACCGTTGGATCTACCAAATATTTTTTTATACAAACAATTGAGCCGTTGGTAGTGCATGGTGCCTCATGCTGACATCAACATGATGTCAGCGAGGCAAATAATTCCCCCTGGCAAGCCTTCTGCTCCCGTCTGCGCACAACAGGTATGCCCCCACTCCCCTTTTTCTTTTCTTTTCCATTTAATTTTTGGCTGTCTAAAATTCCTCCAAACTTAACCCCTTCCCTCCCCAAACCCATTTTTAATACCCTCCACACTCAACCAATGTAAGAAATTAGGAGTCTAAAAATGCCATTTTAACATTTTAGACTCCTAATACCTCACCACTCCATTTGGTCTAACTCATGGGTGGTGAGTACTTATCAATAACCTCAAATAATTATGGAATTGTTACTCCTAGACTTTTTTTTAAAATAGAGGAATTTATTGATAAAAAGATAGGGTACAATGCGAAAAAGAAAAGGCATACAGAAAAGAAAGGAAAAAGAAAAAGAAAGGTACAGTAAAAAGGTAAAAATTTAAGCCCAAGTAAATTGTTTTGCTTGAGATCTTGTCCTCATGCTATGACACCACTTGTTTAGCTGAATTTTCCTATGAAGTTTAAGTTGGGTGTTCAGGTGATCTGTTGGCAAGCAGTTCTCCGAAGTTATAAACTTTGATTTGCGACTAATTGCTATGTTGAGTTTTTGAGTTCCTAATATCGGTACGTTCGGAAATTGGTGGTCGACGGTCGACGCTCACTTATAATTGCGTGCACTAGAAAGTTGTCTGAAAATATGAGCATCTGATTGGTCACAACTGTCAGAAGCATTTGTGTAAGCATTTGTGTACGCCTGAACCAGTGGAAGTTTGGGATGACTCTCCCAAGGTTGAGGCCGGCGTTGCTCGGCGTAGGTTCCCCAAATATGGAAATTAAAAATGAGTTTGGGAATTGATGTGAGTTCCTCATTGCCTCCCACGGAACTGTGCTCCATGTGCATGGTTTCCTCTTGTGTTACAGCAGAAAAACCTACAACATTTAAAAAGATATCCAAAACTCGAATATCCTTATATTTTGTGAGTCCATTGGAATCAAGACGAAACTTCCTTTTTCTTTGGATAATTTCAAGAAACGACCTGATTTTGTGAGTCCAAATTTTCTTTGCTGCCTGAATTTTGATCTTTTCCTGTGAGCTGATAAATATATCGGATGATAGGTGGGGCAAGATTGAGACTGAAACTAATCCTGTTCAAGAAAGATTAAGAATGTGCTTTATTAGTTAGCACATTCTCTCCCCATCGACTTCAATCGTCTTGAAATGCAATCAATAACTCGACACAGGTCGTTCCGTGTATGTTTCCCCATCGATCGCAATTTGAAAAAAAAAATGAATCGTCGTTTGAGACGTGCTGGTTAGGATATCTGTATTGCTTCGTTTCAGTAGTAATAGGCATACGGATTTCAAACCTGCTCTTCGTTTTCTGATCCTACTTATACCTACTAATCAATTTTACATTTTAATTAACTGTTGTTAAACTGATGATTAGTCATTTACGCCTCGAATTGATTAGTCAAGTACTTTTCTTGTTTAAACTTTAAATCAATGATTGTAGTACTGTTTTTCTGTTTTGCTCGAAATGTTTCTTGAATATTAATGTTTTTGCTTTTGTCTAATCTTATGAAATCATGTTATGAAATCTGTTTTTGTTCAATGTTGAAATCTATTTTTGTCCTGAATTAAGAGTGTTATCCTCTTTTGAATTACTATCGTATTTTTGAGCCGTGTTGCCAAGTCAATGACTAATGAGTACATCCTGGTCACACGTATTTTTGTTTTTCTCATTACGAAACAAGTAAGCTCATGTGACTTGCAGAGCCTACTGTAGCCGGTTCCCCGATGTACGACCATTTTCGCTGCAATGAGCTGGAGAGCCAACTACGGAAGAATTGGCGGAGGCGTCCTCATCTCCATTTTTCCCTGGCGATGGTGGTGGTTCCGGTGTGGAGGTCATGGATTCTCTTCTCCGATTTCCGCCTTCTTCACCAATTTGGGCTCTAACCCAGTTCCAGCACGGTGGGTTCCTTAAAGTCGACGAGCCCCTGTGGATCCATGTACCTCTTTGATGTCTCTTTATTCTTTTGTGGAAATCGTGAGAGGAGTTGGGAGGAGGAGAGAAGTGGTGTTGTTGTTCATATGCGAGAATAGGGTAGAGAGAATTGTCCGTTTCTGTTTCTAGAGCCTTGAATTGGTATGAATCCTTGTGCACTGGCCGGTGTGAGAGTGGAGTCTGATTTCTTCGTTTGACCTTGATCCAAGGCTCCTCCGGATTTTCAATGAGACTGTTGATTGCTGCGAAGTTGTTCCTTTGTTCCGGGTGAGTGGAGGTACCGTTCCTTTAGCTGAGGGTTGGACTATGACTCGGTTCTGGATCTCATGTCAGAGGTTTGATATCTCTTTCTCAAAGGAGTGTTCGTTATACCTGGGCGGAATTCCAGGGTATTTTTCTTGGATTTGGCAGAGTCCAAACGCCGCTTTCCCTGAGTTGTTACTCCTAGACTTCTTGTATGGAATATAGGACCAACTTTTGTTTAGGAAAAATAAGTCACTAAAAGGAAAAAAGTGGCGTGAACGGTCGTCCATAGGGCCTAGGAACCTAGGCAACCCTAGGGCACCAATTTTGGAGGACCCCACTTTTTAAAAACTTCTACTCGGAAGTGTATACCGAAGAGCCGGTGGTATTGTTGCAATTTTGATGAAAAAACGCGGCTTCTTTTGAATGAGCATTAATGCAATTTTGTTGAGCGTCAAATCTGTTTTTTTGAGTATTAGGAGCCTAACGGTGAGCATCAGTGATGTCTGATTCATACCTTATATACATCACTTTCTGTTTATTATTTTTCGTTTATTAAAAAGTCTTAAGTTATGTCTATCATCAATTTCAATTACTTTTAATATGTGAATCTAATGTAGTATGATATGTTTGAAATGTGCAACCTTTTAAAATGAGCATAAAGCAGTACCACATGAGCACACATAACTTACAAAATGAGTATAAAAAAAATCAAAAAGTGCATTTGTGTGTGCTCATTCATTTAAACATTATACTCATGTGAATTTAACATAAAACTCATTTCTAATGTAGTATGATATGTTTGAAATGTGCAACCTTTTAAAATGAGCATAAAGCAGTACCACATGAGCACACATAACTTACAAAATGAGTATAAAAAAAATCAAAAAACGCATTTATGTGTGCTCATTCATTTTGAACGTTATACTAATGTGAATTTAACATAAAACTCATTTCTAATGTAGTATGATATGTTTGAAATGTGCAACCTTTTAAAATGAACATAAAGCGATTCCAAATGAACATACATAACTTACAAAACGAGTGTTAAAAATTTCAAAAGCTCATTTGTGTATGCTCATTCATTTTGGGCACGACACTCATTTGAGTTTAACATACAAACTCAGTTCTTATGTGTCCAATATTCGATCATCTGTGTATATTCATTCCTTTTAGACATTATACTCATTTGCCTTTAATATTAAACTCATTTCGATACAGACAGATCCACAAAGAGCTTTCAACTCCTTTCCCTTTTTCTTTCTATAAACCAGCCCAGAAACACGGGGTGGGAAGAATTGAATCTCAGGTCAAAAGCGAAATCCACGTTTCGGTGCGCAATCGATCGGAGTATGTGGCGGCTTGGGCTGCTTCGCGAGTTGGAGACCTGGGAACTCGACGTTTCGTCTTCATCGATGCCCTTCTTCTTCGCAGATGAGTTGCAGCGCGCAGATTAATTACAAAAAAACCCGGTTGTACCGTGTGCATGGATGAAGTCAATTAAATAAAAATATTGAAAAACACTATGTTTTATGTATTTACATTTTGATAGGAACATGGGCTGAGATTAACAATAATAATATGATAGTGACTGATAGGGACCCGGCTAATCTACACAAGGAGAATAAGTTCTTTGGGCAAGTATATTCTAGAAGGCCCAAGTAGATTAGTTAGGTATTAGTTAGATGCTATTAATAACTAATAACTACTTTCTACTTGTAGAAGGTTATAAATAGAATAAGACAACAGAGGGAGGGCGGGCTTTTGGA